TGAAGTTGAGGCGCAAGTTGAAGGGAGCGGCGTCAAGCTTCCAGTCGGCAGTACCCGGAGCACTGACAGGGACTTCTGATGCGAGCAGGCAGTCGGACAGGGAACTGGCCTTGTCAAAGGGCGAGGCATACCCTGTGCCTGCCAAGCCCAGCAGGGCGAAAAGGGGGGCGCGCGGGAGCATGAGGTGCGTGTGTGAGCGAGCTCTGTAACGTGACACACACGAGCTGTATGACTGAGCTCTTTCTAATCAGGGGCCGAATGAGGCGTCTGTGGGGATCTCCGCGGCTCGTCTCCTTGTTGTCTGGGGTAAGATCGTGGGGAAGTGATCGAAAATCTGGGGAAGTGCAGACCGAGATATACTCGCCGACGGGATGGGCCGGGCTTCGATCGTCGGTCGCCTGCTACAGCCGTATTTGAGAAGGGAACGGAAGGACTGTCAACGGTAATGGCGCCATTTTCTGAACAGCATCGTATGGCGATCTCCCCACACTTAAATGTGCCTTGCTTGTCTTGCTGCCATGCAGAGTCTGCTGAGCACTAAGATCGGATCACTTGAGCGTTTTGCCGGCCATGGTTTAATTAACATGAACAGGGCTTGATGTACGGAATGGCAAGAAGTGGTTGAGCCCGGAAATGCTTTGCCTCTGGCACTTAGGGAAGCTGAACTGATTCAGGGGCGGACCTGACAAGTGACGGAGGATTAATCTCGATGTGCAGCGTCGCGATTAAGGGGGATCGTCAGAAACGTGGTTTACCGAGGGTCAGCAAGGCATTTCGGCCGATCTTCCACGCTGGTACAGGCCGAATAGACCCGAACGGGCGGCTTGTCGGGAGGAACAATATGATCTGCCATCGATCCGCGGTTCCTGTGGCGTTTGTCCGTGTCCGCTGCGAGACGCGCATAACCAGTCCGGCGGTACTGCGTGGTGAAACGAAGAGCGTCCTTTGGGTAGCAGCGGCGGCTATTCCGGAGCCCTACCATGTGGTCGTCTTGCATGCGGCTCGATCTTGATGAAAGGTTGGTATACCTGTGTACTTGGCAAGTTGGCATTCGGGTGTGGAACACCAGGTATCCGATGCATGGAAGACTTCTTTCGACGTCTAACCTTCATCGAAGCATAAGCGGACGAACACCTCCCGCTCAGCCGCAGAAATCTGATGGATGCATTGTTTCTCATCCGATGCCTAGCAATTAGAGGCACGATGTATAGATTGGAGAGGCGGGTCGAATTACCCGGGAGCAGCATAAAGGAATCTTACATGCGTGGAAAAATGAAAAGCCTGTCTGATGGAAGGAGATCATTCCAGAAAACGGCAGCGAGGTGTTCCTTTCGTAAAATCTGTGGATTTTCAGAAAATGCACAAACGATCAAAATATAATGACGTTGATTGATTCGTGGATCGTCAAGACAAGAACAGAGACGTAGAGACTCCCGTCGGCAATGATGCAGTTGGTACCTATAGCTGCCTGTCGTCGACGATGTCCAATCAGGACACTTCGGAAAATAGAAAATATGAAACCTCGGGCACATCTCCTGTGAAAGTGTGGGGGTGCCGTGGGCAATGATGGGACAATGAGCCGTTTAATCTCTCCCGGCTCAAAAGGCGTCAGGCAGCATTTAGCCAAGGGCAAGATGAAAGGCAACCTGAGCCAACTTGTCGGATCGCAGTTCCGCTGACCCTTTCCTCTGGCCGAGGACTCCCAACAGTAAAGATTTGAGGAAAGAACATCAGGCCGGAGGTTTTTGAAGCATATTGCATGCCTAGCATCACGAAATGCTTCAAAACACTTTTTGAGAAGCTAATGAGGTGATTCTGAGAGCAATCACCAGATGAAATCTCAGTCGAACTGATCCGAATGTTCCAATCCATGATTGTTTGATTTCGTGACTCAAATGATGAGACCTGAACTTCCTTGCATTTGAAATAGAAGAGCAAACTTCGTCCCTTCCCGATATACTATTCAACCAGCACTGATAGATGTGGTAACACCAGGTGAAGGTGTAACTCAACTGTTTGAAACCCTAAACCTTTCGAAGACCTCTCTTGTTCAACGAATCTAAGTACCAATTACATGGAATTGGAAACATCAAGAATAATTTAACTTCGATGAAATCGGTTACTTGACACGAGCAGCACTTACTGATTTCTCGTCAAACTCCGTATCGGCCACCAGCAGCCCAACAGGCTGTGGCAGATTTATGATCTGTCAATGTTGAGTATATCGTTTGTCTGCGTGCCGAGACAAGTCAGAAAACAATGGCAGCAAATTATTTATTAAATGGGAAATTGATGAAGTGAGAAATACTAACCCGACCCACACAGTTACAAGTGTATCACGGGTAACATGCTTGATCTCATATACCGTTTGAGCTGGCAAAGTAGAGAAGACTGTGATGGTCGCTGGTTCTACTTCCTTGCATTCAGTTCGCGCCGGCGGAGTACTGTAGGTGTCCAGGTCAATCAGTCGCGCCACGACATGATACCTACGAATCACTGATGGCCTGGACTCACAAGGTTTGGATGACCTCTTCAAAGGCTAATAACAACGGAACTCCAGTCATCTAACGTCGAGTTTTGATGGGCAACACCACTTACCCGTCTCAATTGCGGTCCGGCCAGGTACAACTCTGGTCGTGGTCTGGGCAACTGTCATACTCGCCTCGACTGTGATGGTAGTTACAGCAGCTATCCTGAGCACATTGTCTCGCTTGACGTCGGGAACAACTTGATACATCATCAGCATTTTCGTTTGAAAATCATAATAAAAAGATACTGACCATCGTTGTCTTCTAAGCGGCCACCCCGTCCTCTGCCACCACCTCCGCCACCTCTACCTCCTCCTGGGGGATGTTAGCTGACCATAGCCCGCATATCACGGTCAGTAAGGTATCAAACCTTACCTCTGTTATCCCCTCCGCCACCACCTGTTGTGGAATGTTAGTATTTGAACAAGGCTGGGGCTCACTACCTTGGGCAAGACCTTACCTCTGTTACCACCACCACCGCCTCCTCCGCCGCGATTGCCGTCTCCCCCTCCTCCACCACCTCCGCGACTGCCACCGTTATTGCCGCCCCAAGATCCTCCTCCTCCGGCTCCCCCACCTCGACCAGTACCACCCCCGCTTCCTCTACCGTTTCCTCCACCCCCATTGCCGCCGCCGGCACTGCTACCACCACCACTACCTCCATTCCGCCAATCCCAGCCACCACTTCCATACCATGGCCGACACCGATTCCCGCAATTGCCTGGCTTCGGCTTTGCCGGTACAGGAGCAGGCTTATCAGGTTTTGGCTGAGCTGGGACCCTTGCCCCTTGGCACGAAGCTGTGGCTACGATAATTGTTGTAGTTCCGTCATAGAGCGTCGTCTGCCCTCCTATGCGTGTGTGTTCCACGGTTGTGAAGATCGTCTTCTTGGTAGCGGGAAGGTAGGAAGTTACTTCGATTGCGTCATTGTGCGAGCATATCGCTGTGATGGTCTTGGGTGTGGCAACAGACAGCGAGGTCTGCGTGACTGTTGTCGTTTGTGCTGTGAGGGTAGAATGCCGTCAACAACTGTTGGGCCAACGGAAGCGACATGTCAAAAAGAAAGCAAAAGGGAAGGATAGAGCAAGACAAGGAGAACTGGGTGGTCACTAACTGAGCCCAGGAGCGGTGCTCGTCACTCCGACGACGACAGTAGGCGTCACAGTAGTTGTGATCCTGTCAGAAGCCGCCACCACGGTCAAATTGAACTCTCGGATGACCTGAAAGTCGGTGTTGTCTGCTTGGATGATGATGGACCATTTCCCGGAAGGCATATCGGAGTAGGGAATGCCGCTATGATCTCTGCTCAGCCTCCTTGGTCATATATTAAAGCCTCGGCAGTAAACCTACCACGAAGATTGCTGCGTGGTGCCCTCATTCTCCATGCTGATCGCACTGCATGCATATTGCCGCCCGTTCGGACCAACGAGGATTGGCTGACAGGTATCGAGCTCGATACCACATGACGAAAACACCGACATGAAAGCGAAGTTTGAAGTCTGAGACCCGTCGATGAGGTAGGAACCGCCATTAGTATAGTCCAAACCGGTGCATGTGCATGCTGCTGCTGCTGCGTCTGCATCGACGGCTAGACCCATAGCCGACGGCAGAACGACTAGCAGGCACTGGCATGCCAAGAGGGTACGAATGTATCGGAGCATGGTGTGATGGAGCATGCTCCTCTAACCAGGATTGCACTTGCAGTTCGAGGTTCTGGGGAACTGGGAAGAGAGGATCTGCCGGTTTATAACGACTGAACCCCCGAGGAATCACTACTGAGGTTTCTGACCAGTCATGGGCAAACGATTTAAAGCACTTCATGTGTCCTTGATTTCAGGTTGTCCTATATTGACCCCCCTTCAGAACCTTGGTCTCGTCATTGCCAGAAAGAAAGGTGTGCATCAACGTCAGCTAATTAGTCATTGGCAACAGACTCCTTGAAGAACCGGCCCTTGGCTACTCGATACGCATTATTGGCATCCCAAGTACCGAGTCCCCGTGCTTGCGGGATGAAGATGGAGCGGGATCAACACAAATACCCGGTCGTGGTGGCCACTGGGCAGCCGTCGGTCTCCCCCAGCTGAACTCCTCATGTAATGTTATACAAACAAAAGAAGAGATGGTGTCGTCAATATTCTCCGCAAATCTCCTATTGGCTGCTCAGTATAGGGAGCATTCCGCGGTGGGCAGGTGATGGACCTGGGAATAAATCTGGACACAAATAGGGGTAAGGGGTCGGAGGATAGGTAGAACATCTTCATGCACCTGTATGTACTCACCACATACGGGTATATTTAGGGAAGGCAACCTAGATTCGTCTCATGAAATCTCAAAGCTGTTTTTGATCGATGGAGAAGCTTCGGGTGTGGGCTTCGCATGGTGTTGATGGTGTTGCGTTAAGTGATCCTGACCCAATGGCTGTCAAGCAGCCTTAGGATTCACATCTAGCTGAAATATTAAGAATCGAACCAAGCCCGATTAGCTCAGCTGGTTAGAGCGTCGTACTAATATCAGCAATGATATCAAGTCATGCGAAGGTCAACAGTTCAATCCTGTTATTGGGCAATTTCTTTTGCCCCTTCTTTTAAGGGCACTTTTCTCCACCTTCCTCCGCCTTGGAGGTCCCTTCTTTTTCCCTTTTGTGTTTGTGCTTCTTAAACTGTGGGCACAAAAGTTCTCTACTCTTTAGTTTTAAATAAGTTGTTCGTCTCTTCATCATTTTATCATCGAATTTCTTTTTCGAAATGGGAGTCTCTGCCATCACGCTCCAGTGGTGCCTGGTCTGCCTGTACCTACAGAGGCCGTTGCAGCCTGGTTGGCATTCGATAGCGCACAACGTGGAATGCTAGGATACGTTGAACACCCCGGGAGGTGTCAGGGAGGTTGCTCAATCATGTGAGCATTTAAATACGAAGTAGTCTGAACATGACTTGGAAATACCGATTCTTCTCTCTCTTCAGTTTTTCTTGTTGTTTGTATCTCCAGCTTGTTTGGCGCGTCGCTGAACTAAACGGACATCTTCGGCGCACAACAACACCACTAACACCCTGCGCCAACACCAGGGTACTCAACACACAACGTTGGAAATAGCGCCCACGTATCAGCCATGAAGCTCGTCAAAATCAATCTTGATATAATCAGAAATCACGTTCAACGCGACCGTTACATGGGGCAGCCGGTACCGTTCAACAGCTCCCTTAACTCCGAATCCGAAGCCTCTGATCTCCAGCGCCCGGATACCGATGCCTCCTACTCCTTTAAGCGTTGGCTTCCTCTCATTTTACGCACACGGGAGAAGGATGCACTGCAAACTATCTCCCTCAACAGGTCCCAAGCTCGCCTCTTGCTCGAAGCAGCAGAGGGCTCCATCACCAGTTGGTTCGGTATCAACGATGTGTACCGCGAGGGCCTGGAAGAAGAGATCTACCCCCTCTTGAACCCGCTCAAATTCCCACCTGAGGGTCTTTTCATGCGTCTGGATGCTTGTTCGCCTAAAGACGGATCAAGTGTCGAAGGCGATGTGGCTCTTCACACCGTGCACGCCATAGTCCTGAGAATCGTCACCTCGACAATGGCAAGGGATGCTCTATTGCACAGTCTCAACCGCGGGGACCAGCAAGTGGAGCTATTCTTTCTGCCGTTCCAGGAGCGCGTGGGTTGTTTGAGAGTCTTTTGCAAGCCAGGAGACGATAACCAGATCACGGGGATCAGCCAGTACTGCTGGGGCTCACTTGGAAAGTTTCAGGAGCTAGAGAATGAGAAATTGCTAGATACTGTCGTGGAGAAAGTTGTGGTGGCTGCGGGAAAGGTGCGGAACATGATTCTGGAGGAGGTTCGCGGAACGGAAAAGGCCGTCGCTGTCGCGGAAAATGATGCTCTGATGCTGAGGCAGGGGTTCTCGTTCGATCTCTTCTATGATGAGGTGAAGGACGCTATCTCGCTGGTTGAACTGAACACTTTTGGGGTCAGCAGCGACTCCGAATCTTGTCTGTTTCACTGGGCACTAGATCGAGGCGTCCTGTATGGGGAAGAAGAAGCCCAGTTCAGGGTGGCTATTCACATGAAAGGGTTTTATGGGAAGCCAAGTCGGGAGAAGGTGCGCGTCACAAACCTGGGCGATACTACGGGCAGGATAATGAGGTTTGAGAGAGAGGACTGGAGATCATGGCTGAAGATTATCGACTAAAAAGAAATTACTGCCTCGTTCATGACAGAGACAGTCTACATTTCGCTCTTCCAGATCTCGTAATCGCCGAAGTACCGGTCGTGGATCCTCCTGGCATAATCGACCAGAACCGGAAACGACCGCACTGTCTTCTGCGTCTCGGGGGCACTGCCACAAACTCTGTCAGTCAAACTTAACAACATACGTCAAAGACCTGTAGTCACTTACGCATCGCAAATTAAACTGGCCACAATGATCCCATAAGCCGTTGTATCCGCCTCCGTCGGTTTCTCTCCACCCAAAATCCAGAATGGCTCATCACTCCCCTTTCCCTTGACACTTCCCCTTGCCTCCCCAAGCAAGATATTTAGATGCTCCCAGATCTCCATCTTGAACATCCTCACCTCGTCATCAGTAAACCTCCCCGTCCCCTGCCCATACAACGACCTGCTCACACCCCGATACGCCAAGTGCCCCACGAGCACTCTCACCGGGTACGGCACAGAAGCCATCGCGCCATCTCTCATCGTGTAGAAATTGTCTATCCACCTCTCTCTAGCCAGATAAAACGACAGCTTGTCCTCCAGCAGCGATCTGATTGCCAGGTCTTGGGCCTTTTGCACTGGTGTCAAGTCCTTGTTGAGTTCATGGGGGAACACTCCGACTTCCACCAACCGCTTTGAGATCAATGCGGTGTCGCCCAACATCTCACTCCCTCCATTGTCAAGTTCGAGAGCGATGTAGGGGATTTTTCGCTTCGGTCCTTCATGGATGGAGCCGACCTTTACTTGATAGGGAATTCCTGATAGTCGGAGGCGGGTTTCGAGTTTGTTGACAAAGGGCGACCAGGTGTGGGTGGGGAGGGCTGCGAAGCCGCGGTAGACGGTGATTGAGAAGGGGGACATTTTTGACATTTTTGATCTTGACGATTCTCTTTTATACTTGACAGAATCGAGATGCCCATTGAAACCAGCAGCATCGGGCCTGATATACCCATCAAAAGTCATTGTAAGTATGAGTCTTCACGACTCGTTTAGGGGCTATGTAAGCCCATGCTCGCTCATTGAAAAATGCCCCTTGTCTCGACGCCGCAAAATGATCCAGACGTCGCTGTTGTTGGTCACCAAAAGGGGTTACCGTAGGCAACAAAGGCGTCTCAACCAGTTCTTGGAACCGCGAAAACGCGAATCTCCGGGCGCGATGAGCGAAACCCCGGAGATATCTCGCGCCCTGCAACAACACCAACAACAAGCGCTGATGATGCACCCCTCACTGCCAGCACCAAACATCACTCGCACTCAGAAAAATATCGAACTACGACATTAAAGTCCGACTTACAAATCAACCAAAACTGCGACCATACGCCTTGTGCATTACACGGAAACCTCTGACTGAGATTTCTTCTTTGAATAAAGGTGGTAATCTCGAAGGTATGATGCATGGAAAGCCATTATAAGTCACTTTGGCCGAGTGGTTAAGGCGCGCCCCTGCTAAACGTCAGTGTCTCATACCGAGTTCAGCATAACTAGGGCGTTTCTTCGGAAGCGTAGGTTCGAATCCTGCAGGTGACGATTATCTTTTGCATTTTTTGTTCTTTGCAGGTGGATTTGTCTTGCTTTTTGACTGGTTGGGGCGAAACCCCTCTTTTGCTTCTGACTGGACTCGCTGACGGCGTGGAAACTGAAATAGTTGAACTGCTAAAGAAAAGTGCTTGCACATTCTCGTAAAGGTATAAGGACAGAGATCTCTTACCCTGAGATACTAGCCTTTAGAGTTGTCAAGAGAAAACTGCCTTTATGTTCTCCCCATGACCTGAAAACAAGATATACGCTGGGATGAACGGCAAAAAAATCCGTCACTCGCTCTGTGAATGGCTTCGGAAGAAAAAGAAAAATGAAACAGACAAGCTCCTTCTCCTCCTGAATGCATCAGCCGTGAATCGAACACGGGGCCCATCGATGGCAACGATGGATTTTACCACTAAACCACTGATGCTGTACTTGTTGAGAAGCGGTGGAGCAAACAAGACTCAGGTAGCTGCAGACCCTCTCCTCCCGTCTCCACCCTCTCAAACTGCCTCCCCCTTCTTGTTCCCTCCCCCTTTTTCTAGCTGTTGCCCGCAGATGGCTTCCTCTTTGCAACCTTCGCCCACCTCACCGGATACCCCCTCTTCGCCCTCCACTCCTCCGCCTCCATTTCCGCATCTAGCAACAACCCCTCCCTCCAGGTCCCTAACATATCCTGCCTCAATCCAATCTGATCCCCCCAAGACCATGACAACAGACTCTCTGCCCTCGCGCCGCCGTCAGGACTGTGTAACAACCCAACAGCAAAATCCACCAAATCCGGCCGTGAATCCACCGCATAGAACACACTGGCCGAACACCGAGTGCAATGATATCTTTGCACATCCGCTGAACTGGCATACACCCCCAATGTCCCCATCCTAGGATCTTTCTCCTCCACCGCCTTCCTCAACTCCGTAGTATCTCCCGGCAACCCCTCCCCTGATGTAAAAGAGAGATGCTTCAAAAAAGAAAAGGTCCAGGTCCACAACTCCCCCCCGGACCAGATCCGGCAGGAGTCGCAAGCATCTTGCACCGCGAGAAACTTGTGCGGCGCCACGGGGTCGACGAACCATGGCATTGTTTCTCCCTCCTTCTTGTTTTTCGCAAAGTCGGAAAACTCTTTCTGTGCCTCCCCGGCTCGTAGGACCAAGTCCACCCCGCCGCAGTGGCATCTCAGCTTCACATCCCCTTTAACCCCCTCTCCCCGTGCAGCCGGTAAACTGTCAATCGCAGGCCAAGGTTTTTGCTCCGTGATTTCTTCACTCCCCCCTATCCCCCCCATCCACATTTGAATGTCATCCGCTTGTCCCATCCTCCGTAGCCAGCAGGTGGCTCCCCCGTCGATGGTGTCAGCGACGAACATGTGATGTTCCCATTTCACCAACGGCTTCTTCCCCTCTTCCATTTCTTTGGACAAAACGCCGGTAAAGACGCGGTAGGTGGTTTCCTCTGGGGAAGCGTCGGGGAAGGGCCGGTCTTCCCAGAACATGGGGCTGGAGCAGGTGCCGCAGAACAAGACGCCTGTTTTCGGGGAAAAGGGGTAGTATTTCAAGCTATCGCGGGGGACGATAGACGGCCAGATGGCGTCGGATGAGCGTAATGCGCCTGTAAGATGGCGGCAGGAGGTGCAGTGGCAGCTTGTTCCTCGCAGGGGGAGGGAAGAGGGGGAGATGGAGGTGGTGATGGTTTCGGATTTGCAGAGGCATTGGGCTTTTAGTTGGATTTTTTTCTCTTCTTCTTGAGGTGGGGCCATTTTGGGAAATCTTTATTGGGTGTTTGGGAGTTGGTTAAGGTAAGCGGGAAAGGTTGATGGTGATGAGTTCAAGGGAAATGGAGAGTGTCAGGTGGGACGGTCTGGGGTTGGTTGCCTGGAGGTGGTGGATAGTTCTTTAAGCAGAAAGGTGTTTGTTGGGATGAGCACGCGCTCAGCTGCAAACGCTCCCGCAAGTTGGAGGAAATCAGTTGTCATCAACCGGGTTGGCCTGATTCTTGTCGGAGGTCTGCGATGGGATGGAGGGGGTTCATCTCTTTATTGGGGAGCTTCTTCAGGTATCACAGAGCAGCTTATATGGCCCAATGTGACGTCACCCGGCTGAAGAGAATTATCAATGTCGAGGGTTTTTTTGTTGTCTCTTCTGAAGGGGTATCTGGATTTCAAGATACGTGACTCACGCCGCCAACAGGAATGAGGCTAAAAGCTAGCTTGAGAATCCATAATATATGATTCAGTATGGCTGAAAGTGGACTCGTAAAGGGGTATCGTTGCATCGGATGCGTACTCGCTTCGGTAGTGGAACTGAAGTGCTGAGCTGCGTACTACAGCATGTCGTTGGTTGAGGCACACGCACCAATACGCACTCGCAGGCAGAGGGTATATGGGTGATAGTCCCCTAACCGGAATTCTCTGCTTGTTTTCTCGAGAGAAATATAGTATATAGTCAACACAGAATACGAATGCCACTCCTCCAACCAAACCGAACTCCATATGCAAAACCCACCCAATGCAAGTGATAACACCAAATACCTGTCCTTCATTTTCTACTTGTCATCTATACCCGACACACTTGATTAGTCCGCCCGGCGGCCATTTGGATTGGCAAAGCCATTTTCTTCGACGGTCTCGTTCTTCAGCAGCGTCCTCCTCGCGGCGTTCTCTTCATCTTCGTCGTCACTGACAAGCCCATCGAGCTCGAACTCGTTGGCATCCCGCAGTTGTCGGTCATCGCCTCCGCGAGCGTGGCCGTTGACAGCCGCCTTGGTTGGTGGGTGTGCGCTGTCATACACGTTGATGAGAACCATGACCACCAAAAACACCAAGAAGGCGACACTGTAGAGAATCAAGATGTAGGCGACATGGTCAATTCCGGATCCAGCGACCAACTCCATTTGTTCTTCGGTGGCACCCATAAATAGGAAGCCGGAAGCATACAGGAGCTGCGTCCAAGGTTAGTGACTCCGCTCAACGACGCAACCAAAAGGGAGCAAAAACTTACGAAAACAGGCACATATTGGAAGCTGTTGACCTCCCTGCCATCCTCGGAAAGACTCGCCTTATCCTTCAAGACAAACGAGATCTCGATAACGCGAGTGACACCGACAGCCATCAAGGTGTAGCCAAACATCTTGTGCGTCATGGCGCTAATCATGAGCTCTTGAGGATGCGAAGACATTGCCCATCCTGTGATGCCGATAACAAAGCCAGGAATGAAGTTGCGCTTCGGGGCTCCATCCCGGTCTTTGCTGAGCCAGATACCAGCCAAACCAGCGGCCCACCAGATGATGCCCATCGTTGTGTGCTGCCAGTCGTTCCTGACCCATTCGGTACCCCAGCGGTGCTCAGTGAAAGTATTAACGCATCCCCAGGCAGCGATAACGGCGCTGTCAAAAAACTCCTGACTGCGACCGGTCCTGCGCAGCCAGAGCTGGCCTACCAGCAGGAGGATGGTCAAGAGTACACCGTACGCGATGAAAGCGCTGCCCATGATGAAGTGGGCAAGGCATTGACCCAAGTGGTCTCCTTGGCAGAAGCCCAGCAGCGTAATACCACCAAACAGCATTTGCACCCAGGAGAGAAGCGGGAAGGCTTTCCCGTTGATACTGTGCAACATCCGGAAGATAGGACGGATACGCCCGTGGATTCCTCGCTCGAGGTGGAGCTTCAGATAGGCGCCCATGACCACCTGAGCAACCATGAGGAAGAAGAGGGGATTGGCGGCTTTTGCGTGAACGTTCTTCGGGTTGAACTCCCTGCCCTTGTGCAAATGGCCGAGTGCGTAACCCAACAGGGCGAGGGCGGTGCTAAACACTTGTAAAGGTACGTGCCATCGGCTCTTGATTATCTAGAGGTGCATCTTCTTGTTAGAAAAGGCGACAAGATGAAAAAGAGGCAGCCTGTTAAAGGACAACATACCCCTAAAACCATCCCTAGTGGGAACAGAATACCAAAGGTAACTTTTTGGCAACATCATGTTAGTATCGCCGACCCCGCCAAGCGAAACATTTTCCCTTTCTCTTTTTTTACTAACAAGCTTGAAGAAAGATATGCGCCCATAATGTCCCATCGATCGGGTCCATCGAGACGGTTGCGCCCTCTGGGATCTTGTCCCCTCCGTGATTCCCGTGCGACAGTGCCATTGGTACGAACGAAGCAGCCAGTGCTATTCTCGCAATCGAAGGCTTAATTCTCGGTACGAATCGGGACACACTGAGCGCTGACGCCGTTGCCGCTGACGCCGCCGGGAAGGAAGAGCCATAGCCCCGTGCCGCCACGCGGAGAGTCATGGCGAGGTTGCGTTTCGGGTGTGCAAGCAGCTCCCTAGGAGACAGCTTGGGGAGTTTGCGCAACTTAACACGAATGCACGGAGCACAGGAGAATCGAAAGTTCGGACGACGAGTACAAATGACGTGAGGGTATTCGCGTTATCGATTGGATGGGAACTGTGTCTTCGAAGGGCAGCGCAATTGAATGGCTACCTCGTTATTTTTGAGGCTTTAGCAAGTTGAACAAACCCGTCAAACAATCAGAATGAAGAGAAGAAAAAAAGATAACGGAAAAGAAGATGACCCCGAGGGGAGGGATGCTGGAACCTTCAAAATCGGCGATCCGGTTCTCTCGGAACGGGATGCCATTTCACAGGCCAAACAAGATTCTCCCTGAAAATGCTTGTCTGGGCGCCACTGGGGGCCACTGAGGTGCTCAGCTCGGCGCTGTCGATGCTGTGCCTTTACGGGCCGGCGCACTGAAATGCTTGGTGTGCATACGAAGTGTTGGCATATGATTGGCGGGGAAATCTGGTGGGGTTTCAATTTTGAAATTCCTCGTCGCAATTCCTGGGCACCCTGGCGTTCCTGGGCATCTAACAACATCAATCTTCCAGTGGATGACAACTCAACGTCCAGATGCGCGTCAAAATTCGACAAGAAATTCCACTGGTTTATTTCGAGAAGGAAAAGGGGCTAGAAAACAAGGCCGTCACTTTTTTTACCGATACAACAGGTTGAGC